ATCTCTTTCAAACTCTTGAACTTGGCTAAAGATTCGATCAAAAAATCAACTTGGCTAAAGACTCGATCAAAAAACAGAACCTTGGCTAAAGACATGCACTGTGTTGGACTGTTGAGAGATGATGATTAACATTAACTCCTCACAGCTTAGATGAGTACACGCAATTTGTTTGGGCTGATTTTAGGTCAATGCTTCACGGCAAAGCTTGCAGGTATTAACATCAATCTACACAAGTCGAGCACATAGAATTTTTTAATATAAAACAATAAAATTAAAATTAAAAGGGACAATTTGCAATAGTGAAAAGAGAAATCTTGAGAACTCTTCATTTGTAAATGGTGAGGGCATTGCCTGCTTGAGCTATGTACAAAAAGGACAATTTGATCCTCAGTTCCATTATATACAAAGAACAACCATTTAGGTTGCAAAGGGATTTGGATTAAACCCATCTATTGATTAATTACATTTCTTCTTCAAATATAAGGATTAATGTGAGATGTGTAGTCCCTGATTCCAGCTCCTTCCCATCCCATCCATTCCTCCCACATGTCCCAATCCGGATCGTTCATTCCTCTCATCGGCTCATCAACTTCTTCATCGTACGTCTCATACATCGGAGATGGAGTAGATTCTCCTCTCAAATCGCTCATAACAATCTGCATAGACAAGAGTATATGATCAGATAATTGTTACAGTATCTTATAGAACACAATGTTTCTATTGGGACCCTACCATTTGATAAAACATCATAATCAGAAAGCTTATCCAGGAACCTAATTACCTAACACACCACACAGACTTTTTTGCAATGTCTCAAAAGATGCCCAATTCCATCAACATCATAGAGACTTTAACCCCCCCAATTCATAAAGATGCTAACAATTATTCTTGGAATTTTAAGTTAGATCACAATACAGTTTCAAGTTTTAATCAGACACTAATCAGATTCTAAACCGGAAACTTTATCCAAAGACTTAGAATAGAAAAAGTGCATCCACAATTTAGTAGTGCAGGATTCTATTCTGGTGACAGTTAATTATGCTTACATTTTAAATGGTATTGCATTAAAACTCATATTCACAACAGGCTTTGACTCTCATCCTATCTGTTCTATGGGGTTAAGAGAGCATCTTTGCCCATGACTGGTTATATGCTTCAATCATCATCCTCAAGATAAGGAACAAAAGAGACCAACAAAATCGTAAACAATTAATTCTCTGATAGCCCAAAAGAAGAAGAAGCAGATAGCATCTAAAAACTTTATTGGAACACCATCTTGCACAGAAATTACAAGTGAACATGACATGCATACTTCCAAGATAAAATAGCAGGCTTGATTGATAATCGAAAATACCAAAGGGAAGACAAATACATACATCATAAGCTTCATTTATCTGGTGAAACTGAACTCCACAATTGTTTCCTCTGCATACGTCTGGATGATACTGCAATTGACAAAGTCCAATCAGTCAACAAAGCCCCCAACAATGATTTAAACTCACAAAATTTTATTATAAATTTAAATAAAACCCTTAAATTGACAATTATCAACTGAACTAATCCCCTAATAAATACCCAAAACGCGTGATTAGTAGAAAATAGCTAATAAATAAATAAAACCCAGCAAGAAATAAAAAACTGTAACAGAAGAAAAGGATCCCAACAGGAAAAAAGTACTTGGTAACATACATTATTCAAAACCAAATACAAAGGGAAAATTTTGTAAATTGGAAAACGAAAAAAAAAAATCCAGAATAAAATAAATAAAAACGGAGATTAAATAAGATGTAAACAAACCTTCAAGGCAAGTTGTCTGAAAGCCTTCCTGACCTCAGATTCAGAGGCACCAGGTTGGATCTTCAAAGTCCGGTAAGGATCCATGACAGAAGAATAAACACAAGACACCATAACCCTATTCACCGTCTTCTTCTTCCTCGGCTTGTCCTTAAACAGATTCCAAGAAGACCCATTACCCCCAATAACACCAGCAGCCACAGCAGCCATTGCAAAACCCAGAAATCAA